TGCTCTTTGGGAACCACTTGATTTTGTACAGAGCAGGAAAATTGTCTACTCTTTGCACTTTGCACCTCCCCCACTGCCATATGCTTCCCTAAAGTTTCCTTTTACCATACTTGAAAGGACCACAGACTTTAATAGTATTCATGCATTTGAAGTGCTAGGCTATTCCCAGCTTCCTCTGTTGCTGCATTTATGATGAGAAGTAATGAAAAAAATCCAAGTTGTAAGATAACGTTAAAAAATGATTTTTAATGACAAAAATTTTAAATAAAAGGTAGTTTTTTAAAAAAGCATCTGACCTTAAATAAACTGAGGTTCAAGATCACAACCAGATTCAGGGGCTAAAAATAGGCCAGCCTCCTTTAGTGTCTAGGCTGAGAGAATTTAGTAGGTTACCACAGCAAACACTAAATTGTTGACACTCAAGGGACCTGAACAAGTTGAAACAGCGTCATTAAAAGGTCAAGTTAGTATAGAATGTCTTGAATTCAGATGTAATAGTAAAAGCAGACAGGGTAAAGACAGAGAAAGTAATGACTATCTTTACAGAGGAATATTTGCAATATTATGTGTGTGTGTGTGTGTATATATTCATATGTGTATTTTTGTATGTATATATATTGTATATTTATATATATGTAATATATATGTATATATGCCTGAAACATCACCCTATTACATGAATGTGAGTTTGTGGGTGTCCAGCACTCAAAACTTTGTCAAGCAGAGAACCTTTCTTCCTCGTTGTGGGGAAACTATGTTGCTGCCGAAGGGCAAAGAGAAGACGGGGCGGATGAGGGGGACACTGACGGGGCTGCTGGCGGGAGCTGCGGCAAACCAGAGGCATATGCAACCCATTATTCCCACCAAGACAAGGCTGCTTCTGCACTCTCTGGTTCCCACAACCCTCCACCGAAGTTCATTTCCCTTTCAGATCTTCTCTATGGGATTTAAATTTCTATTTGTGAGGCTAACGTTGGGGTAAGGGAATGGGGAGGGGAAGGCAAGGTGAGCAGTGCCTCAGGTCCAGCTCCATGAGGAAGGAAGGCAGGGTGCACAGGCAGGTTTTGGAGCACAGACCTCTTTCCCAACCCGGCATCTACTTCTTACCCTTGTGTGGTCTTAGGCATCTATATATTTTAACACTTTCTATGACAGTTTCCTTATGCATACAATGGATTTCACATGGTTGTTGTATTTTGTGCATTAGAAATAATGTATATAAGTGACTGTTACCTAGCAGGTGATCAATAAACACAATGCATCTGATAACGTTGACTACAAGACCCAGAGTCAGCAATGTCTTTGTTTTGCCTTTTTACCCTTGGTTCCAAGATCATACGCTACACACAGAACAGATACTAAAACTGGAAATCGCTCTACTGGCTCCTGCTGTCCCTTCCTCTTTTTCACAGCTTCACAGCAAATGACAGACACTGGCACTTCCATCCTCTTGGGGGATGCATGGATAAAGTGGTAGAAAAGATGGGCAGAGTGCTGGCAGCCACTCAGCAAACACCTGAGCCTCTGACTCCGTTCCCCGCACCTGTTCTGTTCTCAGGCCATTCCCAGCAGCAACCGAGGTTCCTGGGCCCACAGTACCCCCTGATGGCTAACATGGGGAACTTCTTTTCTCAATGATTCTTATCTTCTCTTAGTGAGACTCCCCCAGGCTTTGTTCATTCCACCATGGGCCATTCACTTCTCAGAAACGTTCTGTGGCCTCTGCCTTGCTATTTTTCTTTTTTGCTCAATTATTTCAGAAACATCTACCTCCCTTCCTGTTTTGTTTTTCCTTTTCTTCTATTTATGAATCCTCAAATTACTGTGGTTATGGTTGGTAAAAATAATAATAGGATGAGTGCATATGGCTATCAAGAAAAACCTTCTACATTTAGAAGTAAAATCAGACATCTCGAAAATCTTTTGAGAAATTGAGAGGGTTTTTTTTTTCAGAACCTGGACAAAAGATGCTCTGTACCTCCTGCTCTTTCTCTAACACTGAACTTTTCTTGACATTTTATTGTTTTCCTATTTATTTATTATTTTCCTATTTATTTAATGGCCACAGTTGTACTAGTTTGTCCCCTACTGTTTCATTACAAATATAAAATATTTTCCTAATTTGGTCATAACTCAAGGTAATTCTTGTACAGTATTTCTTTCCTTTCAAATGATTTCCATATTCATAGAATTACAACTATTTTCTCCTTTAAAATAAACAATACAAATTAATGAAGGTAGCAGGTAAATACCACCCATTCAATTTTAACATAATTCTGTGAAGATGGATTTTCTACCTAATATAACAATAATGATGTTATAAAATAGTTGTGTGATACAAACGTTATTTTAAATGTTCATTGAAAAACATTGAGCTGACATATTCACATTTTTCTGAAAAGATATTTGCTTTCTTATATACCTTTTGAATTCATAAAGTTTTGGAGGTACAAATTAGAACATGCAGTGTTAATGTTCTTGAAAGTATTACATTTAAATTGTTTTCTCAGGAACCAAAGAGAAAACACCAGAGGAAACATAACCAGCCTGAATTGTTTAAAATGTATTTTCCCTTTAATTAAATAAGAAACATCTGTCTAGGGATTTTGGAAATGAATGTAATCCATCCACACTCTGCCTGTACTAGTTTGCCTCCAATGTCCAATATTTTGAAAGAAAATTCTTTCTTTCTGTAAAGAATTAAACAGCAACATGGAGCAATGTCTGGGTCTTGCCTCAGGAGTTTGGGTACTGGAAATGCTAAGGATTGTCTATTCCCAGATCTGTCTTTGGGAAGCAACCAAATTCTCTCCATAATCAAGGTTAGGGTGTAACAGCTGTACTTCTCCAAAGCATCCACTCACCCTGAAAAGGCTCACCTCAGGACGGTGGGAAAACAGAGGTTACTAGGCTGTACGCAAACACTCCAGGTCAGAATACTGTTCCCTCTCTGGGAGTCACTGGCATTTTGCTCCCGCTCGGGCTTTAAAAAGCTGATTTATCTAGGAACCTGCACAGCCCACATCACAGACCCATCAGGCAGTCCAAATGAGTACGAAGAAACCGGGGACTTGACGCTAGGAAGGCTCTGGTTCTTTGAAACCAGGGCCCACGTTAAGAATGACAAATATCACTTACTGGTGGTGTCGAACGGTATCTGCTTGCACTGCGCGGACCCCTCGGCGGGCCAAGGACAGTAGTAGACGGCTCCCCCCTCCACGATGTCTGGCTGGCTGGTGTTGGCTTTGGGCGCTCCCACCAAGACACTGGCTCTGCGAAGGGGATGCAGAAAACTACTCGGTGGGCATCGGAACAACGCGCACGGGAGCTGCGGCGCGGGCCGCACGCCCACTGAGGCTAGGGTGGGGGTCGCGACAGCAATGCATTTCTGAGGGTGCCGATGGTCAAACATTCGTTCCCCTTGGAAACCTGCGGGCATCTGAACCTGGTCTGGAGGAGGGTGCCGAGAGTCCTAATTCTTCTCTAGGTGGAGCTGTGTATACAGTGAGGTGAGGGAAGGGGGTGGTTAGAAAAGCCAAGGACGGAGCCCAGCTGCTGTGGCGGGCGGGCTGCACTGGCGCTCAGACCGTGCGCTGGCAGAGGCTGCGGGTAAACACACCGTGTTGTGGCCGCTGCGTTAACGGCCTGTCTGTCCGCTCCCAGCTGGTCTTTGTACCTGGAAGTCCCCAAGACTGGCGCGTTTCCTGCAAGTGGCAGGTCTCTAGCTCAGCGTGCACAGCGCAGAGCAGAGGCCGGTGGCGGGGGCGGGACGGGACCGCACGCGGACAACGGGAG